GGGCACCTGGGGGCCTTCATCTTCACGTGACTTTCTGTGAACTGGTTGCTTGGGTGTTTTACATAGAATTGTTTTTCCCTGCAAAAGAATCTTTAAATGGATATGGTCGTTGCGGCCTGCGTAAGAGCCTAAATCGGGGGGCTAAACAGAAGGTCTTGGGAGACCAAGCAGGGTGGCCCCAGGGAGTAAGAGAGTGTCAGCGTGTGGTCGGGGGCCCACAGAGCTGGCTGTGGAAACCCAACCTGGTGCTTTTCCTTCCAGAGCTGCGTCATGTCGAATTCTAGGTTGTGTTTCTGTCACTTGCAGTCATAATTGCCACAGACAAGGCCCTTCATTGGCTCATGGAACTAAAAAGCCACTTGGGCATCAGGTATGGCTGGATCTAGGCACTCTTTTTCTTAAGCCAGGTTCCTGTGTGTCACCAAGTGACTTATCTCTGCTGGTGGCTATAGTCACTCCCATAGTCCCCTGGGGAAGGATCACTGCAGCAAAGACCTTTTCCTATTGGTTCTCTCTCTCTTTTAGAAGATTTATTTATGCACACAAGAACTGGGGTGTAGGCCAAGGTGTGGGGTGAGAGGATTCCCCAGAAACAGAGTGGGAGCAGAACAGGCAGTTTGACAAAGTACACTGCTGAAGGGAGCAATAGGCGGGTCAGGAGAGGTCTGCTGCACCCTGGGGGTCCTTCCCTGGCCGGGGGGTCAAACTCGTACTGCAGTGGCTGTGGAGAGCTTCACAGTGCTGCATGTAGCCATTGGGCCCCCGGGAGGGCTTCCTACTGTTAGTAGCTATGAGCCAGTCGCTAGGACCAGGGGAGTTGGGTGTCTGCACTGGCCACTCTGGCTCAGGCCTGAGCTATAGGCGCCCCTTGCTGAGGCCCGCAGCCTCCCCTGGCAGGGGAAGGGTGGCTTCCACTGGTCAGTCTAGGGGTCTTGCTGAGGAAGGACATGTGCTGGAATATGTGTGTGGCCTTTGCGGCTTCCTCCTTGCCTCTGGCTGTGGGCTGGTTCAGACTTGTGGCTTTGGTCACCTTTGACATGAGTGTCCCCAGGCAAGCCTGGCAGCTCTGTCATCAGGGAGTGAGATCCGAGGGGCAACTTGCTAAAAAGAACTTTCCCGGGAAGCCCCCGTGTCCTAGAAGCTGCTGCTCCGTGG